AAAAATATATACATTTTTTATGCCCAAATCACAATAAAAGTACATATTGTCAAACATGAGAATATTTTCAAATAATCAGTTAAATCATTTTATTAGGCAAATAATTATGAGCCAACAATTCATCATTTTAAAAATTAATTTGGACAAAGTAGAAATGAAGAACAACCACTTAGTGGTTAAGCAACTTCTTTCCAAATACATTTTAAATATATATTATATTACATAACAACTACTATTAATTATATACGCCACACACCCATACACCCCATAATATATCTATACACATACATACATACTTAGTAATTTACTTAGTAAATTTATGTACGCACATAATTACATATATGCTAAACATGTTATAAAATAAATTATACTCAAAATTTTATAATATAAAATTATACGGTTAAAATAAAATAATTATTTTGCAGTTCAAAATAATACATACCTATTTATAACTAAAATATTATACTCTTATTTATGACGACAAAAATAGTAGATATCAGATTTTCTGATGGCTCAACCGGAATAGCTCAATAAGAAAAGAGGTGATAATTCAGAAAGGTAAGAATTTCTAATTTTAGAAAGGCTAGAAAAGCCGGGAATCACATGATCAGTTACTTAGAAGCTTAAGAAAGCAAAGTGGAAAGGAGTAGCTGGAAACATGAAGTGTGAGTTCATTACAGGGAAAACAGAATGAAAAAACTAAACTCCCCAAGGAGTGAACACCAAGCTATATACACAGTAGGAAAGAAAGAGAATTAGGACACAGCTTCTTAACTGCCTATAACTAACCACTCTTGGAAATGACATAAATGCCCTTTGAGAAGTTAATCACTTCATCACCCCCCGTAAGCTGGAGCATGAATGTCTTGAAGGCCCAGCTTAGCATGGAACTTCTGAAATAAAGGCTTGGCTAGAGGCTTGGTGAAGCCATCTGCAATCTGCTTGTGAGATGGTATTCCCAACAGTTTAATCACTCCATCATGCACTTTCTGCCTCACAGCATGGCAATCTATCTCAATTAGGGGTGTAAACGAGCCGAGCCGAGCTCGATCCTGGGTAGGCTTGAGCTCGTGCTCATTAATGGAGGCTCGGCTCGAGTTCGAGCTCGAGCTCGATCGAGCTTGAGAAATGATGCTCGAGCTCGAGCTTGGTAATTTTCGGGCTGCTCGAGTTCAGCTCGAGCAGCTCGATTGTTCGAGTTCGAACTCGAGCTCGATCTTGAGCTCGAGTTCGAGCTCGATTTTGACATTGAATTTTACATATTTAATACTTTTAGTTTAAAATTCTAACTACTTTGTTTTGTCCATACATAAATAATAGAAATCTTTTAGGGATTTTGAGTTTAAAATTCTAATTTCTAATTGTTATTTTTATATTATATTATATTATTATTATTATATATATTATATATTATATATTATATATTATATATTATATGGCTCGCGAGCGGCTTGACGAGCCACGAGCCTAGAATATCTAGGCTCGGCTCGAGCTCGATTACTAAACGAGCCGCTCGAGCTCGACTCGAGCTCGATATTGACCGAGCTCGAGCCGAGCTTTGACCGAGCTGCTCGCAAGCGGCTCACGAGCTGCTCGGCTCATTTACACCCCTAATCTCAATATGTTTGGTTCTTTCATGAAATACATGATTTTCTCCAATGGCAATAACAGAGGTATTATCACAAAGTAGAACAACAGGATCATCTGTATGTGCTTGTAAATCTGCAAGTAGGTACTTTAGCCATTGAATTTCACAAACTGTGGATGCCATAGCCCTGTATTCTGCCTTAGATGAAGACCTTGAGATGGTGGCTTGCTTCTTGGTTTTCCATGAGATAAGAGACTCCCCAAGAAATATGCAGTATCCTGTTATGGACCTCCTGGTTTCAGTACAAGTTGCCCAATCTGCATCTGAAAAACCTTGTAGCTTGACCTGAGTGCTGGAAGCATAGAACAACCCCTTTCTAGGAGATCTCTTAAGGTATCTCAATACCCTGTGAGCTGCAACTATATGAGTGTCCCTTGGCTTGTCCACAAACTGACTTAATTGTTGGACTGCATAGGAGATGTCAGGCCTAGTATTGGTTAGGTACAAGAGCTTTCCAACCAGTCTTCTATATATTTCTGGGCTGTCAAGGAAGTTGCCTTCAGTATTGGACAACTTTTGCCCTGTGGTGCAAGGTGTTGCAGCTGGCTTGGCATTCATGAATCCATTTTCTTGGAGAATCTCTAAGGTATATTTCCTTTGGCAAAGATTGAGGCCAGTGTGATCTCTGAAAGCTTCTAGTCCCAAAAAATAATTCAGATGTCCTAAATCTTTTATTTTGAAAGAGGAGTTCAGGAACTGTTTCAGCTCTTGGATTTGCAAAGCATTTGTTCCTGCCACAATAATATCATCTACATACACAAGTAATGCAGTAAAAGAATGATTTGTGGACTTTGTAAACAATGAGGGGTCAGCTGATGATTGTTTATAGCCAGTATCCTGCAGGGCCATAGTTAATTTTGCATTCCATTGCCTGCTTGCCTGCTTTAGCCCATATAATGATCTTAACAATTTGCATACCTGATTTGGTTTGTCACTTTTAAACCCTGGGGGAAGAACCATGTACACTTTTTCATCAAGGTCCCCATGTAGGAATGCATTGTTGATATCAAGCTGTTGGATCTCCCACCCTTTTGCAATTGCCATAGCTAAAAAGGTTTTAATGGTGGTCATTCTAGCCACAGGAGAGAAGGTCTCAATATAATCAACTCCCAACTGTTGAGTGTATCCTTTTGCCACTAACCTAGCTTTATACCTCTTTATTGAGCCATCAGCTTTGTGCTTCACTTTATATACCCACTTGCAGCCAATTGGTGATTTTCTGTAAGGTAAATCAGTCAGAATCCAAGTGTTGTTTTGGACAAGGGCTCCTATTTCTGACTACATGGCTTCCCTCCATTGTTCATGTTGAACTGCTTCATTGTATGTTTGAGGCTCATGTGCAGATGTGATAGATGATACACAGAACCTGTGTCTAGGAGATAGATGGTCATAAGAAATGAAAGTATTTATTGGATGGGGAGAGGTCCTTATGCCTGAATCATTTCTTACCATGAACTGGCAGTAGTAGTCATTCAACTTTGGTGGGATAGCTCTTTGCCTGGTTGACCTTCTAGGTTGTGCTTGATCAACATGGTTTTGTATTGGATGAACCTCAGCATTGATGGTCTCATTATTCATTTCATCACTGCCATTAACAGGTATGAGTGTCTCACTGATCACCCCATCATTCTTGTCTTGATTCTCATTGTGACAGTTATGACTGTCATTATTTTCACAACCTGTACTGGCAACATCATCTATTAGGGGCTCAGGATTGGTAGTCCTCTTCATTGGTTCCACAAGATCAATGGAAATGGGAATCATAGGCAGTGAAGGACTAAGATCATCACTCTTTTCAATCTCAGGTACATTGCTCATGTCTTGCTCTTTTAGGGGATATACTTGCTCATAGAACTTGACATCCCTTGAAATGAAATCTGAGTTGTCATTGATGTCATATAGTATGTATCCCTTTAAATTTGCTGGGAATTCCAAGAAAATGCTTTTCCTTGCCCTTGCCTGCAATTTATTTCTTCCTTGTGATATGGTTGCCCCAAAGCATAGGCATCCAAAGGATCTGAACTGCCCATAATCCATAGTTTTCTTAGTAAGTATTTCAAAAGGGACTTTTCCATCAAGTGCATCAGTGGGTAATCTATTCATAATATAAGAGGCATGTAATACACAATGACCCCAAAATTTAGTAGGCAGTCCAGACTGGAATTTCAAAGCCCTGGCTATATTCAAGATGTGCTGATGTTTTCTCTCTGCTATCCCATTTTGCTGAGGTGTATACACACAAGACTTTTGATGTATAATACCTTTCTCATCAAAAAATGAATTCATTAAGAATTCTCCCCCATTATCTGTCCTTACAGTTTTAATTTTCTCTGAAAAATGAGTTTGCATAGTTGTAGAAGCTTTGGAAAGTGGACTTCACATCAGACTTACTTCTTAGCAAATGTAGCCATGTGAATCTGCTATGGTCATCAACTATGGTCAGAAAATAGTGTTCTCCTTTCAGAGAGGCCACTGCAAAGGGTCCCCAAACATCCATATGTACCAAATCGAAACATTTTTCAGCTCTAGAATGGCTGATTGGGAACACAGATCTCTTATGTTTGGCAAAATGACAAGCATCACATACAAAATCAACATGCTTATGATGAAAAACAGACTTTATTCCAATCAAATGAGGTATCTTATTCATAGGGTAGTGTCCTAGTCTGCTATGTCATAGTTCTAATGTCAAAGCATTACATTGATTCTCAACAATTTTACCATCATATTGATTTCTTTTCATGACAGGGGGCTCAGTGATCAGATATAGTCCACCCCTCTCCTCAGCAAAACCATCCATTCTCCCAAGAGTTCCCTGAATTGCACAAGAATTAGCCTCCATGACAAGCTTGCAGTTTGAATGTTTTGTCAATTTACTGGCAGAGATAATATTGAAGGCAAAGGATGGGATATACAGCACATTTTGCAGGACTATGTTATTGTTCAGTCTGACCTGTCCTATATGAGTAACACTCACTGTTTCACCATTTGGCAATTTTACTGATATTCCTTGGACCCTGTGGCATATCTCAAAGAATTCTAAAGAGCAAATGATATGATCTGTTGCACCTGAATCCAATATCCATGCATCATTTGAATTTAGCACACTATTAGCTAGAAGGCTAGGAATAATTTTACCTTCATCATGTGCCTGCAATGGATTTTTGATGTCTGGCTTGATTCCAGGGGTGTGGACAGTCACAGCTGCATTGCTCCCAGCTTGATTTCCAGCTTGATTTCCCTTACTCTGATTTTGCAGCAAGGAAAGCAGTTTCTGAAACTGTTCTACAGACAAACCTACATCACCAATTTGACTCACTGATGCACTTGAGGATTGTTGCATATCCTGAGGCTATTTGTTTTTGGACTTATAACCAGCAATCCACCCAGGTGGATAACCATGCTTTTTGTAGCATTTTTCAATGGTATGGCCTAGCATCCCACATAATGTACACTTTGGTGGATTTTTCCCTCCATTATTAGTAAATTTCTTCTTATTATTAAAAGCTGAAACTGCCACCATGGACTGTTCTTCTCCAACTTGACTGTTTTGAACAGCATTAGATTGGATGAATTCACTACACTTTTGGCTAATTGATCCTTTGATTTTCCTCTCAACTTTGAGAGTCATGTTAAGCACTTTCTCCATTTCTGGAATTGGCTCCATAACTAAAACTCCAGATTTGACAGACTCAAACTCTTCATTCAAACCATCTAAGAATCGGATGATTTGATCCTCTTCTCTTTGCTTCTGCATTCTGCTCATGAGAGTGCATGAACATCTAGGTACACACTCACATAATAACAATGGCCTTAAGGCATTCATTTGCTGCCATAGAGCATTGCTCTTGGCGAAATATTCATTGACAATTAAGCTACCTTGCACATTTCTAAAAATCTCATTCAGGATTTCAGATATTCTATGGGGATCAGACTGGGAATACCTCTTGTGGAGAGCCTTCCACATTTCAGATGCATCATCAAAATACATCACACTGTCTGCAATGCTACGGTTAACAGACCTCAAAATCCAATAGCAGACGATCCGGTTGCATCTTCTCCATGAGGCAAGCTTCGGATCATTGATTTCTGGCATTGGAATGGATCATTCTGCAAATCCGAATTTATTCTTAACTTCCAACGCAATCTTCATAGACCTGCTCCATGAAGCGTAATTCAATTCAGACAGAGGTGGTGAGACCAAGCTGAGGTTAGGATTTTTGCTGATATGAAGATACAATGGATCGTCGAACTCCTCATTTCTTTGATTCTGGTTCGTCGAGGTCTGGTTCGATGAAGATCCTGCTCCTGCTTGATTTTCGTCACCGGCATCCATCACGACCGCTGCGGCGTAACTCCGGTGGCGAAGCTCTGATACCATGATCAGTTACTTAGAAGCTTAAGAAAGCAAAGTGGAAAGGAGTAGCTGGAAACATGACGTGTGAGTTCATTACAGGGAAAACAGAATGAAAAAACTAAACTCCCCAAGGAGTGAACACCAAGCTATATACACAGTAGGAATGAAAGAGAATTAGGACACAGCTTGTTAACTGCCTATAACTAACCACTCTTGGAAATGACATAAATGCCCTTTGAGAAGTTAATCACTTCATCATCACAATTTTTCCTGCCTGTTGCATGGGGCACGTGTGCATTTTGGGTCAATTCAACTCATTAATGTTGTATATTTAACATTTGAGTGGAATACTGTATATATACTAGATATCATGAACATCCAGCTAGCTAGCTTGCAAAGGAGGACAGACTTTGATAACCTGTTGGGGCTGGTGCATTCTACTCTCACAATTGAATGAACACAAAAGTTGTGTGCATCTTCAGAAAAATAAAAAATAATTAAAAAATAGACTTTTGTGCATCAACCATTGCAGGAATACAGTATGTGTATGATTACTTCTATCTAGAACAACTTCTATCTGGAACAACTACAAGCGCATCAAACAAGAAAAAAGGTGAGGTGGTAGTGCACAGTGAACACCCAAATCCTGCAGGCTAATAATCTAGCATCCAGTACGTCAGACTAAATGCATAGCTGCCTAACAAGCTACAACAACAACACCAAACACAATGCTATAGCACGAAAGCGCCCATAATAAGACCCTAAATAATGGAATTAACTATATCCGAGGTAAAGTTTGGGCTTGGTTTTTTCTCCCAAAGCAATAACATGAATGGTTCGCTACTGCTGCATAATACACATAACAAACTAATAGATTGCACTGCTACCCTACTTACACCACAGGCCTTATTCACAAAACTACTATCCAACACCTATACTATTTATAAATTAGCGGTACTGATGCGGTTGAGCTTTTCCTTGAAGTAGATGTGCAGACATGTGGCGGTCATACTCCTGAACTCGTGTGAGAATACTCTGCATGTGGCCATTTACCATACTGAGCAGGACGTTGTGGCGGCAAACCATGGACTGGTCCGACATTTTCCAACTCATTGGGATCCCGCGGTGGGGTGTGGGAATCCTGATCCGTATCACTCTCATCGTCGCTTGAAACCACCAGTTGTTCATCATCACGACCTGGAGCAGCACAGAGACATACCGCATTAGATTCGTGCAAATGAAACTTGAAACAAAGCATATAATTCAGTCCATTGTGAATGTAGCAACAATCACTAATAGGAGGGTATATCGCATGATATGCTAGACAACTCATGTAGTGCACTTTGCAAATAGCCAAGGGGACTATTCATGCATTACCTTTGCTATGGTGCACTGCACCAACCTGCGCTACTCGAGTTTGAATAAAAATAATCCGACATTGATTTGAATGCACCAAACTGAATCATAGTATAAGCATAGTGGCATTATTTCTAGGGCAGCCTACTAAAATCATAGTATAAGCAAAAAGACATTACATGCACTAATACATAGAAGATCATATGTATATAAATTAGGCTTCCAAACAATTAGTTTAGGTAAAGAATAAACTCTCAATAATCTTCCAAGCTTGCATGGTTACATATACTAATAGTGTCCGGGTTTTGAAATGTCGGAGGGACAAAACTAAATAAAACCAGCTAACACAAGCCAAGATCATCTGCACTTCCACGGCCCATTAAAATTTTCCACTCCGCCACTTCATTGCAGCAGCATGCACCATTTCTTAACCCATTTTAATTTCAAACTCATATCCCAAATAAACCTCAATAAAACTCTAAATTTTCCCGATCTAATTCTGCCCAGAGAAGCCAGTATTAAGCCCAAACAATTGAAAATACTATCTGATGGATTATATGAACCCGGGGGTCCGGATTATACAACCCGAATATATGATTGAATATAATAAATAAATAACAAAACAATAATAAGGGTAGGAATATTATATTAATTGGATGTATAACGCTATTACAGAGGTTCGGGACATGCAATAACGAGACAAGTGTGTAAGATAGAAATCAAGTGTCCCTTGTTAGGACAAGGTGAGGGGTTTTTATATGCAACAAACTTCCAACCGCTCCCACTAAACCGGGGGATGGTTGGATTTGGCGTTTTGACCGCGTCCTAGCTCGGGACCGGGTCCAAAGCCTGGCCCGGGGTACGCGGGAGGAGTCGCAACTGCCGCCGCACGACTCGGACAATGCGGGGACCCCGTCCCGGCTGAGCCCGGAGCTCGGCCGGGCCGACCCCGCGTAGGCTGACCCGGGGTGCGCTGGTCATCCCGGGCGCACCGGCCGACCCCGTGGTGGCCGGGCCTAAGTAGGCCGACCCCGGGGTGCCGATCACATATTGGCCGACCCTGGGGTGGTTAGCCGACCTCGGGGTGCCGAGCTCATGTTGGTCGACCCCGGGGTGGTTCGTCACTCCGTGTGCACAGTAGTCGGGGACCCCGTGATAGTAGCCGAGGACCCCGTGGTAGTAGTCGAGGACCCCAGGGAGGTAGACCCCTCCATGGTCTGTCCGGCCGCGTGCGTAGTCCATTCGGTGCCAGGTGTGATCCGCTCCATATTTCTTCGCTCCAGGCCCGCTCTGTAATTATTCCATCATCAGTCCCCCACTCTCGGGGCTGCGAGAAGTCGTCAGCCCAAGAGAGTACCAAAGCCGCTTGATAATTACGGACCCCCCTCGTGTTTTAACGCTTTATCCTTCGTCTATACTTGTTGTTGTGCAAGCTGTCGCCCTAGCGGCGTCCATGGAGAGCGTGTTGGGGACCCTTCGGACGCAGTTGGGGGCCGAGATGAGGGGTCGCAAAGAGTTGGAGGCGGCACACAAGGCCATGGGGAGCAAGCCTGCGGCATTGGAGGGAAAGTATACCAAGTTGATTGCCAGCCATGCGCGGGAGCGCCGGTCGCATGAGGACGCTTTGAAGGCAGCCGTGTTGAGCTATAAGGACTCCGAGGTGGGCTTTGAAGGCAGCCATATCAAGCTACAAAGACTCCGAGGTGTTCATCAAGAGGGCGGCCGAGACCTCTTCGAGAGGTCGGCCGAGAGCTCCTCGAGAGGTCGGTCGAGACCTCCTTGAGAGGTCGGCCGACACCTCCTCGAGAGGTCGGTTGACACCTCCTCGAGAGGTCGGCCGAGACCTCCCTGAGAGGTCGGCCGAGACCTCCCCGAGAGGTCGGCCGTGACCTCCCCGAGAGGTCGGCCGAAACCTCCCCGGGAGGTCGATCGAGAACTCCTCGAGAGGTAGACCGAGACCTCTTCGAGAGGCCCGTCGAGTCTTCACCGAGAGGTCGGTCGAGACCTCCTTGAAAGGTCGACCGAGACCTCTTCGAGAGGTCCGTCTAGACCTCCCCGAGAGGTCGGTCGTCACCTCCTTGAGAGGTTGGCTGAGACCTCCCCGAGAATTCGTTCGAGACCTCCCCGAGATGTCAGTTGAGACCTCCTCGAGAGGTCGACCAAGATCTCTTCGAGAGGTCGGTCGAGACCTCCTTGGGAAGTCGGCTAAGACCTTGTCGAGTGGCGAACGAGGTCGGACCTCATGCTCCCTTTAGGGTTGCCCTATGACTCCAAGTCACCGCACTTGGGCGGCTCCTCCCATTCGGCGATAGGCGAGGTCGGAACTCGTATCGCCCTTAGGACGTCTTAGCGATTCTTGGGTTGGAGTGTTTTGACTCGCATCTCGAACCCTTCCGTTCAATGATAGGCGAGGTCGGACCTCGTATCGTCCCTAGAGTGCGTAGATTGCGTTATGGCGGTTCGCCGATAGGCGAGGTCGGACCTCGTACCGCCCTTAGGACGTTTTAGCGATTCCGGGGTTGAAGTCCTTTGACTCGCGCCCCGAAACCTTCCGTTCGGCGATAGGCGAGGTCGAACCTCGTACCACCCCTAGGGTGTTAAGATTGCGTTACGCCCGTTCGACGATAGGCGAGGCCGGACCTCGTACCGCCCTTAGGACTTTTTAGCGATTCTGGGGTCAGAGTCCTTTGACTCGCGCCCCGAACCCTTTCATTCGGCGATAGGCGAGGACGGACCTCGTACCGCCCCTAGGGTGTGCGTTGCGTCTAAGTCGACCGTCGCGGTTGGCCGCGCACGCGGCCGCCTTCCCGGGGCCAACCCCCGGGATGGCCGTCCTTGTGGCGCCCGTACTCATTATCAACTCGGGGCAAGGTAATTACTCAACGTAATTCAATATTCCATTACGATAAAAAACAAAACATTATTGGGGGGTCGCGTTGTACAAATGCGGCTCTACTGGTAAAATTTTAGCAAGTGCTCCGAGTTCCACACCCTGTCCACCGTCTTGCTCGACGGGGTCCTCAACTTGTAGCTGCCCGGGCGTACTATGGCTTCGACCACATATGGTCCTTCCCACTTCTTGGCAAACTTGCCTCCGTCCTGGGGTCAGCTTGCCTTCATCTTCCGGAGGACGTAATCGCCAACCTGAAAGTAGCGAGGTCGGACACTATTGTCGTGGTATGCCTTAGTCTGGCGCTGGTAATTTTCTATGCAAACCATGGCGTCCTCCCTTCTGTCGTCGATGAGGTGGAGGCCGGCGGCGCGGTGGTCCTCATTGAGGTCGGGGTCGTACATCGCGACCCGATAAGATGACATCGCGGCTTCGGTGGGGGCCCGTGCTTCGAACCTGTATGCCAGCGCAAACGGTGTCTCCCCGGTGGCTC